TGAAGTTGGTGTTCCTAACATTAATTGTTGTTTTCAGTAGACTGTTGCAAGTCCACGCAAACTAACTATTCTATAAACAATTTTTCATCGTCTATTTATCGTGAAGTCTTTGAAACTATTAAAGACTGTAGTTGCCATCGAACAAGTTAGTAACAGGTGTCGCAGTGAAAATAGTGTGGCAATTATTATTCTTACCATCATTGTATTTAAAAGCTGCTGTGTTTAATTGGTATCCTAGTATGTAATACTAGCTATGCTCGCGGTTTTACCGTTCACCGCCTTTTCATGTTACAAGGACTTTCGTATAATTATTCGGCACGTAATATTATTATAACTACAAAGATATCAGTTTTCTACATAATTCCCAACTCCAGGTGTTACTCGCCAATCCCGACTGACACAAATATTTTGTACCTAAAACAAGTGGCAACAAGGTTAGGAAACTGAGTGCTTTCGATATTTTATCAGCAAACAGAACCCGGTAAATTCCAATAGCCATAAAAACTTGAACCGTGTCTCTAGGGCAGGACGTTCTTAATTAGCACGTAATTAATTCTCTCTCCGACACACGTACCGCCCAGACCGGTGGCTTGGCCGACGAGTGAATTGAGGTAACAATTCCCTTAGTTGTGTTTTATGTTTATCAATTAGAACTTCTAACTTGATCGCTTAATTGTCGGTCCTGCACCGCGATGGACCACTTAGATGCGCGTTCTCGAGATGGTAGATGCCGCATCTATCCAGTAAAGTAACATAAATTATCACATTTTCTCACAGTACTTTAATCACAACATGGAAGATATTCCATGGAGGTTTTATTAGAATATTATGACGTCTAATTTGAAATTAGAATTGTTGATTTCTATTTACAACTGATATCAAAGTCTATTAATTAACCCATCCAATTTTGATATTATTAATTAATATTATATTTATTATTAAAACATGAAGAAATGCGGTTTATAAAAAATTGTTTATCCCTAAATATTCAACCATTATTTAGTGTTGTTTTTATGTGATAATAACAGTCAAACAGATAAAGACAAATATACAAATAAGAAATAAGTGGACATTATTGAACATTTATATTGCACTATGTAGACCTTTTTCTTAGAATAAGCGTTGTATTTATAATTATCGTACATTTTTATTACAAGACAAAAATGAAACTCTAATTGACATTTTATGATAAATATAAAACAAAACTATTTGAATTCATTTACATAATTTTATTCTTATTAGACACAAATTTATTCTAATTTGGTACGGTATTCAATGTGAAAAGAGGCCTTTTTATATATATTTTTTATTATTTTATACAAATACAACTAATGTCGCAGTTTACAAATAAAATGCATCCTCCATTTTTCATATTTCTTGATTAATGTTTATTATTCAGCCTTGACAGTAACTACATAGCGATTTATATGTAAAACTGGTGAGCGGTGGCAGACAGCGTGTCCAGCCAAGTGTTATGACATTCCCGTTCGACTCGTTAGAAAGCAGAGATATGATAGGTTATCCAGAATAATTACATGAATTTGCATATTCATACACTAAGCAAACCATTTGCTTAATAAGTTATCTGGAATTTAAACATGCTGTATAAGGAACATGTATACAACTGGTTAAGAATTTTTTGCATGTTCAACTTTAGACACGACAAACTTAGAAACATCAACCTAAATTTTTAAACGATGTTGATGATTATTTTTTAACCAACGTAATGGAACTCCTATTTTGATATAAAATAAAAGTACGAGATAGATGACATTTTCAATATTTATAGCATTATGAATCTTAATGTTTATAGTTACATGTTTCAGATTCTGATTCCCTATACTGAGTTTTCCATACTCTTCTTTCTTGTAACAAATAATTGTATTCCACTGCCTGCTTGCTAGAGTAGGCGATTTTTAGTAATGGAAAATAGTGACCTTATTGGTAACAATGTACCAGATCATGTCAACCTGCACGAGGTCCCGCATGGAAGCCATCGTGGATGGCTCCTGGTGAATTTGCAAGAGTATGCTAACTGTCCAAACTTCATGCCGTTAAGCGGCTGCACCATTCCAAAATTAGTATTTATTAAGTTTATCTATTAGTAACATCAAAATCAAATCTATTCTCTTTAATTTCGAAATACTTAAACACCTCTTGCTCGGAATACGTTTGTTGACCAACAACAATAATATATTAACTACCTTCTTTTAATCATATAGTACTTTTGTTCTTATGACAATAAAACGAATTTTTTGTGGTATTGTAAAGGATTTGTATTTTCCCTCCAATGATTTACTTAAGAATGACATATTTAAAATTCGAGAGTTTTATGTTCTTTTTTTTTTTCAAGTAATAAAACAAAACAATGTAGGTTGCATATACTTGTAAATAAAAATACCTAACGTAGACGTCTTAGTCTAGTCTAATAAGGTCTTAGACAGGTATCATAAACTGTAGGTATTTTTGGCACCAAGTTTTAGACCAAGTTCAGGACAGTTATCCTAAGCATTATTCCATCGAAATTATCTCCCATCGGATACAATATGTTAATGCGGACATTAATGATTTATAAATGGCGCAATGTAAACACGGCCCGTTATGTAAGAGACATTGTCATGTATTATTCATAGGTATTTGAAATGTATTGAGCTCGGTGTATTGTAGACATAATCTCGCTGGATGTACAACAGTAAGCTCTCCTTACTCCCCAGCTGTTTAAATCCCAATAGTTAGTTAAGAGTTCTAATTGTCGAATGACTGTTATTTATATTTTCTGGTGATACTTAAATTCTATCTTAAGGAAGGTGTTACATATGTTATGGATGATAATGGAATGGCGCACCCACCTGCGCTAATGGTTTACGTTGACTGGGCACCAATGGAGGATGATAAGATGAGCATGAGGTCAGGTCAGTTAGCCCATCGTGGTAAATTTGCTATGAATTTATCACGATGGTTTCCAAGGGGAACCACGTGGAGGTCAACCTGACATGGTATATTGCTAGCAATGAGGTGTTATATATGAATGTGGATGGTTTTAAAGGCAGAGGAAACCTGAAAAAGAGATGAATCGTAAGAAAGGGAATAAATAACGAGATGATGAATAGAAGAGAAAAACATATTACGCCGACCTCAAATAATTCAGATGAGGAAGAAGCAGATGATGAGGTTAACATTCTAAATCGAAGATTGCTTACTACCGGAAGAAGTGACATTTCGTAATATAATATGATGATAACTTAGTGTGTACCAGAGATACCAATCATACCAGGAACGTTGTACAAATAAGAGATTTTGGGTCTTCGATAGGACGTTTTCACTTTTGTACTAGTTTGTACCAAAAAGTGTTCAAAAATTTGATTTGATCTGAAAATTGACAAATATATGAATATAGTAAGAGAAAGAGAGAGTAATATACCGTATATTACTCTAATAATATCAGTTTTTTTTTTCTTCTTGTTATGAGCTTAAATGCTTTAAAATTGGCAACTCTGGTGTGAACCCCTCTATTTGAGGATAATGCAACGTAAACCCTGCATCTACATATTTAGCTACTCTTTCACCATTTTAAATACATTATTTTTGATTGGTACATATTGTTTAATCTGGACTATATATACATATTGAAACGGAGGCATCTAATATGCCTGATGAGTTAGAGGTTTCGAGGGTGTTAAAGAAAATATGGAGACGAATAAAATATGACACCGATATATCAGGGTTATATGTGAATATAATAAAAAGCAATGTGTCAAAAATACAATTTAAAAATAATATTACTTAGCCTAAAACTGAACATATAAAAATTATATTAAAACTGTATCCATATTGAGTTGTACATTAATTAATTAAAATATGATCCTCTTTATATAGTAAAGTGATCTCCTGTCCCCTGTGTAATATTCTCAGCAATCCAACAAGTCAGCCGGAAATCACTTTGTTTTATTGGGCCGTCTTTTTTAAATACCGAATTAAGCATCCTACTGCAGCGGTCTCGCCATCGCCGATGCGCACGCATTCCCGCGAAAGTTTTACGTCCACTTGCATTCTAGTAAGTTCATCACATTACCGGTAGATGGCGCTAAATAATAAAATGACATACTTTTAAAAAGCAAATGACAATTCTTTAAAAAAAAAAAAATGTAAGTGGATTACTCATTATTATATCTTCAATATGTAATTATATCATACCTTTAACTGCCATATTCTGTATTTTAGTTTGTTTTATAATTTTGAGTAACTGGTTTATAAAGTAAATATTAGTAGATATATATATATAATATTTGTTTAATTTGCTTAATTGAAAATTTATAAAAATATAGGTCATCACAATTCATTTTTACCAATAACTTCTATATGTTATATTCGTGATTATTGACAATAAAATACTAAACAGTAAGCATTGTTTGGAGTTTTGATCGCGTGATACCGTGTGGTTTTATTCTCTCGTGCGTTAGTCTAAATCGTTCCCCACTTGTTTATTTATTTTACGATGTATATTTATTATGACTTTTATTTCTTAAATTGTCATCTATGGCAGTATCAACTAAGTCTCGGAAAATTATTTTAGTTATCACATCACATTCCAAAAGAAAGAGTATATCTGAATCTTTGCGAGGTAGAATTTGTAGGAAGTCGTCTCACATGAACGTAGGCCATTAGGCAATGAAATTTAGGATAAAAGGCATGACGTCGTCTTCTAAAATGTTTATACACAAGTGTTAGAAATTATTTGCAGTTTGCCAATTTACGTTCATGGAAATTTCAATCAGTTGAATGAATTTCAGGAATTAGCTTACTTACAATAAACTATACATACACTGTAATATACATGTTAGGTATATTTTGAAAATATGTGAATGCTATTTTGTAATGAAGCTGTTTTTGTACACCTCTGTAACTCCGATCATTGTAACTAATTTGACTGTAATATTTAATTTGTTAAATGAATCGATATATGTAAATGATATTTAAATATTTGTTTTTATTGTTGACAGATTGGCGCGCTCCAATGTCAGATGAAGCGGAGGCGGGGCGGGGACGGCGCGTGCCGGCGCCGCCGCCGCGACACGCAGCCGCGCGACCACCGGAACCGCGTCCGCGCACCCTTGTCCCCGTGCCCCACTCTGGCCCTGTTGTCCCCGTGCCCCACTCTGGCCCCGTTGTCCTCGTGCCCCACTCTGGCCCCGTTGTTCCCGACCCGACTCGCAACCAACCGCCCCGACTTATCCGACCATCGGAACATCTCGCCATTGTCGAGCGGTCCATGGAACGGCGGCCGCCGCCTCTCGTGCCGTCTGTAACGGTGGTGCAAGGTCCTCGACCGTCTCTGCCACCACCGGCTTTGGTTCACAGGCCCGTAGCGCCCCCACCGCTCAGGATGCCGGCTCCTGCTCTTCATCCCTTGATGAGGTTGCCGCAGCCGAGAAGAGATGTTCAGGTAAGGCTGAAACTACTCAAATATCTACTTATTACTTATTAATAGCCTATACAAATGTATTCTTTATCATTATGGTTACTTTATATACAAAGGGCTTGGTATGCTATAAAAAGTTACCAGGAAGTTCATTGAGAATTAATCATTCGTAATGTTGATACCACGAGCCTAGCTGTTTTCCGCTTCAATATCTTCGAGTCACGTCCCAGAATGCCTTCCTATTACGTAGTCACGTAATACGGGAATTAAACTGTCTCATTTTGAATTGTCTACATAAATAAATTGTAACATAAAAAACGAACAATTTTACCGTACCATTATAACATCGACAGTTTGTTATAGGTCTCAGAAATATATTACAAAATTAAGGTATGTTTTTACAGACCTGTCTCATGGGTTAGGTGATAGGTACCATATATCTTAGAATAGTGTGATATACGAGTAGGAGATAATATATCCTCTCGTTTATGCGGTGGGCTGGTCGAGTGGATAACACTCTATCATCGCGAAATGATTTACTATTTCTTTGACCATATAAATAATGGCTCGTTGTTTCTAGTCATACATATATGATTAGATTTGTCGATGCGTATTGTTTACCTGTAGGCGTCGTGCTTTCTTCGTTTATTTAGAAATATGATATTACTACCTGCTTGTGTAGTAATAAAAAATGATAAACAAATCTATAAAATATATTTTAAAGTTTATTACGTAGATCATTAGAGCCTATATTAATATGACGAAGATGTTATTATCAAAACGTCATATTTGAAAAATGATTCTACCAAATTATTATTAAAATATTTTAAAGTATTAATTTAATACTGCTAGTATATATTTTAACCCTAGTTTTGCACAATTATTCATGTTTCAATTTGTTTTAGATATTCTTCTATTGAAATTTATATACAAATGTTAGAAAATTAAGATTTAATTTTCGTTTTGAGTGTTAACAATCAAAATATAACATAACTCATAATATTTTGAACTCCTTATGTCTCAATCTAATGTTCTCCTATATCAATCTATTTAAATCTAGCGTTAACATAATCTGTGTAATGATAACTATTAATAAGCCTAAAACACGGATATCAAATTTATATCAAATCCTTATTTAAACATTAAATAACAGTTCCGAATGGCGTACAGTGGCGCCACTTGGTGTTAAGTTAATGTCTTATAATCCGCTTTAAAACGACCATGCTGTCGCTTCTCGTTTTACTCATTGGCGGCTTTCTTATTTTAATAGGCTTTAATAATGAGATAATGCCGTATCGATTTAATTCATAAAGGCCTTATGCCAATGTAATAACTTTAATGCCAGACTAGATTTGGTAAATAATTTTAGTGGGACCATTATTCTGAATTAGAGAATATGTATTTATGTATATTATTATGTAGTTTATAGTGCAATCTTGTCTTTCTTTAATTCTGCTATAATATCAATATTCATTCAAAAGTTTTGCTTGTTAACAATAGTGTTAGGAGTTAATTATAAGAACCTAATAATAAAAACCTCGTATATTCTTTGTAACCTAATGTAGTAGTTGACACTATTGACCCACTACAGTAGTTGACACTATTGGTCCACAATATACCCGGTCATTACAACGTCCACACTGTCGCCTCGGAAAATAATTTTGGATGATTCACTACGAATGTGCCAAGTGACCTAATTTCAACCTCGTCTTTTCATCCTTCACTCATGTTCGCCATTGTATAGCGAAACCGCAGACAGGATTACAAAAAATGTAGGTACAATTGTAGCCAAGCTTTATCGCATTATTCATTCGCTTGGGTGATTGTCATACAGACATGACACATGTTTTTGAGTTGGAATAATATTCACTAATTATAAATTTCTCTTTTTAATATCTGCGTACCTCTCCTCAGTTACATTTTCCTGACCTTCATGTGCAGTTATTAACCAATCAGACATGTGGGTGTACGCTAGTGGAGAATTACATTTCCATTTTGCCATTAACCGCGATAATAAATCCATTAGAAGCCGACACATTTAAGGGCTTTTCACACGGCGTTTTACCTAGTCGAAGCCAAGCCTTAACCTCATTTCGGCGGCGTTTCGTTGAATTACTGATATACATCAAACCAAAGAGGTTTAATTCGTTCAGATGATGTATATATATAATATATAGTATATACTATTTGACAAAGAACATTTAACAAATAAAACTTAAAGATTAAGGCAGAGTTACGAAACATAAGTCTTTAGTATCTGTGTTCGACATTTCTGCTATGTACTCGCAGCGTCATTTATAGACAGTCATAATGGACCGTCCTGACCCAGGTGGCTAGTCAATGCATGACTTCTAAGCTCGTCATTCCATCTAATATCCGGTGACCTACATTTTGGTCGCCACTCCAGCAATTTTCTTCCACAGTTTTCTGAGCCAGTTCATTGCTGTTTATTTCAGTATAGATCACTTTGATTCTTCTGGAATTATATTTTCAACATACAGTCTAATATGCAGTAGATCTCTCAGCATAGGTAGCTGAACGAATTGATAAAGAAAAATATGGAAAAATCCATTTTATTTAGTACTTTTTAATTATCACAATCTTTTTCCAAAAGGAAAGTAAATTGGGTTAGTTGGTTACTTATTTTATTTTGTTCATGGTAACAATCACCCAGTTATTATCACAATATACGATTTGGTACAAATTTTGTCCCACTTTAGGGCTCTTGTAATGACTTGTCCCACTTAAACTTGCACTTGATTGAGTGGCGATCGGGGCTCGGTACGGTCTGCATTCGACAGGCAATCAGCCGAGAGTTGAAAGAGGCCGTTTGTCTTGATTTTATTGCTGTACAATGGTCGGATGGATCTAAATAGTGTTACGACAGTACTGTAACGGTAGTAGGTACGTACATGTTTGTATATCGCAGGCATATCTTAAGTTTTTAATCTCATGTCAGTTTTGTTTATATCGCAAAATATAGTTAAGATGCTTAATCTTGTAGTTACAAGATGATTCGTCTTAGTCTACGATACGTTACATACGTCGTTATGTCTACGATATATTCGTCTTAGAAATTATACCATTATAATCCATGAAATTTTACATTGATACATATTTTTAAAATTAAAATTCATACATGGTTAAATATACAGTCATTTTTTATTTTTTTTTTTTAGTTCAAATTAATATTTTCTTAAAATTTATGTAATAAAAATTAGTAATATTTATAATAATCCAGGAGAATTCACACAGTGCTTAGTGCAAATTAAGCAGAGTTAGCTAGTATTGGTGGCTTGTGTCTTGTAAAAATATATACTATTTTTGTAAATACATTCATAATATATATATATAGAAAACACCCAAAACAAAACTAACAATCATATTCATGAATACAAATATTTGTACTATGCGAGCAATCAGAACATGCGACCATAGAAAATAAGGTGGTCTACTAAACTGCTAGACCACTGAGTCTATTAGTAGTTGGAGAAATTCATGGTCAAAATTTTAGTATTGGTAACATTTGCATACTAAATTATCAACAAAATATTAAAGACACGTCCAACAATGTACATGATTTGTTGCTCCATAGCGCGACGCTCTAATCACCTTCCAGTGAAAGGCGTTAGCTGTCATCATCAGTTGCCAGTTTTTACTGCAGCTATGTATCTGATGTCCTTACTGGTACTAGTTATCAATATGGACAGGATTATTTGCGCATGAGAATCTAATTACTTGGAATCGATGCTAACGGTGAAATTGAGAAAACGGAAAGTGGTGTAGTGTTTTGTCTCTTAAAACGTTTTATGCTTTTAACCAATAACTAGGTACGTACAATATTAAATTATTTAGTTAGAAAAAGTGGTATGTATCATTAATCAGGTAGTGTATTTTTGTTATAATTTATTTATTGAAATTGTTGACTTTCGTTTTGGTACCATATCAATATTGAAGTCAGTTTATTTCAAAATTTTGAAATAATCATACTTTTGTTTCTTTGGTTGGTGATTTCTGCTCTTCAGCGTTTGTGTAATTGCTGCTATGAAATGTATACATATTATTGCTATTCCTTTACTCACAATTGTTACTATAACTATTAGTTCTTTTTTTTTAATCGACGTATTACCATTATCTGACTGTTTTCTACAATTTCATCTCATGTCATCTCATTTCATTTCATTGAATCACAGTGAAATAAATTTCTAGTAGTCATTCAAAAATCGTCTCTAAGTATATTGTGCTTTAGAAGCATTCTTTTTATAGTATTGCTCATCAAGTCAACATGTTCAAATTGACATAATATCAATTTAATAGATTCGAATAGTGTAATAAATACAACAGAATAGACCCGCTCGTAGACACGTGGGTGTCTTATACAATGGGTTTGAATACGATACTTTGTCACTATCGATGGCTTGTTATATCGAGTAATCGATTTATTTATTAGAGAGTGCATTGACCTTTTAATTGTTTCTTGTGAACACCCACCCGCACTGGTTTGCATTTAGCAGTTGGAGTTTCTTAACTGTGCTGCAAATGCTGCAATTCACTATTCCAACTGCATTGTGCTCATTAGTAACATCAGTAACAAAATAATTATATTTCATAATGCAGGTAGCGGTTTCGTGCTTATTGTATATACTATGTAATTATAATTATATGGGCTTGCGCACTCAAGGAACTTGTCCGCGTAGAACGAAAAATGCATACATATATCCCAAGACGATGAACAATTTGTAGTTCTAGATTACAAATTGGATGGACTCGTTTATTAATTTCTATTTATATCTAATTATAATAATAATAACTCGACTATTTTCAGAGCGTCATCTAGTCCCAAGCTAAGCGGAGCTTGTGTTCTGGATAGCAGACAACTTTTACAAATACATTTCTTACATATATAGTATACATTGGAAACATAGAAACTATCATATTCACAAATACAAATGTATGTATGGAATCGAACATATGACCATCGGAAGAAGACGGCATGCTAAACCGGTAGTCATAAATAAATAAGCTTATTGTAAGACATTAAGCTTGCTTTATTTTTTAACTGGACTGAACAGCATCACATCATGTCTTTTTGTTACGCCCGTGGTACCCTCATGCGTTGTTATTCCGGAGGACAAAAATGTTGCCCTGTAATTGCCATATATCATCCATCAACAGTCAGCAAAAATAAAGTAAGCAGTTTGGATATAATCACAGAGATAATCACGTGTCAAATAAATTTCTATAGGTGTGTTACAAAGTGTAAATTACGAAACGAAAAGTTTTCAAAACAAATCATCTATGTATCAGTGAATTCCTTGAAAGGCACTAAAAGTCGTTCAATTGAAAAATAGCTTCTTACCACCACCCAATGTTGCAGTAGAAAGTGCTGAGATCTTAGTAATTTTCTAAGCAATAATTCGTCGCTCGGATTCTACCGCTGACGGCTAACACTATCATTACAGTGACTACACTGCAGATGCACTGCCGGATATTTTGGTACTTTTGATATTACCACCACTGCTCTGGTATAGCTATATTCTAACAGGAAGGTTCTCTATATGTATATAATAAAAATATAACAGATCGCTGTTTATAACTACGTGGAAGATATATTTAAGGAGAAAAACTTTTATTCTGTGATTTTAACAACAACAAAAACCAAAACAATGATTGTTAGACATTTTGTATTTTTTGAATACTGCATTTAAGAAATTAACACTATGTTGTAATTATATGTATACTCAAAGCAGGCTTTATAGAGTAATATTTGTAACTAATTTTAATTTAATATTTGTGGCTGCCATCTTTTTTTTATACTTTCAGCATTTTAATTATAGTGGTAAAGTAGTTAAACATTTTGCTTCCCTCTAATATTATAAATGCGAATAATTGTGAGTATGGATGGATGTCTGTTCCTCTTTCATGCAAAAACTATGAACGGATTTTTATGAAACCTTACAGTGATATTTATACACAGAATAACACGTAGGCTATAATGTAAAAAGAATTTGTGTAAATTGGGCGAAATATAATAATAAACGTCTAGTAAGTGTGCTGCAGATAAAATTGCGCGAGTCAACTGGTATAAAATTTATTAAAAACATTTAAGTAAATCATAATTGATTTTAATTGTGTTCATGCAACCTTAAAACAGTTTAACATGGTCTTAGACAGTGTTGTCACTTTCGCTGAAACAGCGGCAGGCGTAGCCAGGCCCTCGGGCTCCGCTGATTTACCGCGCAGTGACTGGTTCATTATTCCGCATTATCACCTGTACGCGTGCGCACCCTACTGATAACCTTTCCTATTTAACGTACAATACTATTTTAGAGTCAAAGGTCATTAGAAGTGATTGTGATTTTGACACAGATACGTAAACAATAACTTCAGGTTGTTGTTGTGCTTTAAGTATTCAGATGTTTAATTAATAATTATTTTTACACTATTGACTTAGTCTATAGGTCACATTGCTGACATGTTAATTTTAACATTAATACAATAATTATTCGCGTAGTATTTGAAGTCATCAAGTCATTAAACAATAAAAATGTACAAATTCACTTGCACTTGTAAACATGGCCATTTCAAATCCCTACTTTGCCTTCCTTGGAAAAAGTCTCCCTAGTTTGCGCTGACCCAAACCCCTCCAATTGTCCCTTAGAGCCAATAAAAAACAACAAGTCTGAAAAAATGGTTCCGTGAATATCGAAAATTGTATATATTATGTAAATACCAATTGTATATAGTATGCCCGCTGATTGTATCCCCACTGGAATTGCTCAGATATGGATCATGATTTTAGTATTGAGTAAAATCCGTTTAAAGTAACTATAACCAAGTTGTGTAATTACTACATTTTTATTAACTGCATGTTCATGCTCTCTGTGCATCTAGCCTAAAAATAAATAGATGGATCTGCTCGTAATCCAATTGTACTACATAGTACAGAACGATACATCGTTCTGTAAAACAAAGAACCGAAAAAACTGGAAATTATCAAAATAAAACTAATGTGATTTGTAGACCAACAAAATTTTAACTACTTGACCACAAGTCACTAAATAAAAAGCCAGAACCACTCTGTTTTATTTAACTTCCAAACGTCAGCTTTTTTTCGTTGTATGTCAAACAGCGCCTCGGGCGGGGAACATGATATTTCGGTAACAGGATACGGGGATTACGGACTACCGACAGTTGAAGGAAAGAATAAACAAGTAAATTTTTAACCTACTGCCAGTATGAGGTTTTCAACAAGACGGTTGCTTTAGTGTGTTATGCTACGCGATTTCTCTGCAGAATCGATGAACGTTTTTGAACGATTTTCTGTTACAATCAATCGTGATAATTTTTTATGGTACCCATTGTTAGTTTTAGATCAGTTTAACACGTGATCATAGTTTTAGATAGTGGTATTTTTAAAGAAATAATGCATTGAATGCTCGATATTAAATAATCTAATATTACTTAGTTTATTAAATTATTGGACCCGGCACGAGAATGCTACCGTTATTCAATGTCCAAAATCTTAAGTTATTTCTTTTATTGAAAATATTCTATATGCCTAATAGCAACTTACTAAACCCCTAAATTATAAGTCTTATTAGACGTCATAAACAAAAACATGATATTTAAATTCTTGAAATTGAATTTATATTATTGTATGTTATATTTTAATTACAATATTGTACGGAATCCTCCATACTCGAGATTGATTATATATAGTCGATATTGTGTAGTACTTAAACCAAATAATAAGCTTAAGTGAAGTCATTCATTTTATAACTGACAGCGCTTTCATTTCTTCTCTAGTTTCGTATCAGTTAATAGAACTAGTCATACTACTAAAATCAACAGTTTATCATCATTACGATATTTATCTGCAAACAGCTAGTGTTAATCTGCACCTAAGTGGGCACTCATCGCAAATACTAACACTTAACGGCGTATAAATTAACACTATAATGTTTACGCGACCGCTTTCCAATGTCAACGCACAATCACCGCCTACGCTGCGCGCGCGCATGATTGACAGCCGCGAACCAAGCCGTGGTTTGTTTCCACTGTGCTGGTACGATACCATTCTTCATTGTTATCATCTCCAAATATTCAAGGTGAAAATAGACCATTTTTGGTCACATAACGATTTGTAATATAACTATGCATTTTATATATACGTAGGTGAATTATATTTTTTATAATTTTAGCTATGTATGTTTGTTTATACGTTAATGTAGACTTTATGTACACACGATATTAGATATAATAGTATGAATATTAGTTTTTGCTATTGTTATAATTTTATACGGTTAGTATATTTTATACTTTCTTAGTCTTTATGAAATTGCAGAGTAATTATTTCTTGTATATTTTTGTAAATAAATAGACATGTACTTTTCTATGTAACTTAATCGGTAATTTACGATTTAAGGATTAATGACTCTAAAAAAAAAAAGAATTAATCGATATTTCTATTGTAAAACCATATTCGTAATTATATTGTCAGTATAATTATCAACCAATAATTGAAACATACATATGTATTTGGTATGTAAGTTAAGAATATGCAACATTAAAAATCATCAACCGTAGATATGCAAATAATACCATCATCTTAACATCTGCATAAATAAATTAGTGACAGAATTATTATTATTAGAAATGCTGTAGAATTATTTACTTTGAAGAGGATCTTATATGTTCCCTAAAAATTCCTGCTTCATAGAAACCCGTAAAATTTAGTCAAGCTAAACCAAATAACATAGAATAGAAGTATTAATTTTTATTTATAATGTTCAAGATAAAAAAAAATAATCGAAATGTCGTGCCGGACGACAATGGACGTGCGACGAGTGAGATGATTATGCAAATAATTGTCTTTTAGTACGTCATATGTTGTTCATCACATCACACAATACCATGGCGAGTACTATGCAGTGAAAATCCCTTTGGTATGCAAATCTACATGCTCATAATGGTAATACCACTTCCGTTACCGGTTTCTTACCAAACCGGTTTTTCGCGCATATTTTATTGTCTGTGCATATCTTGTTGTTTCTTATATTATACGTGGTATAGTATTTGTCGGATTTATTAGATTTTAAGATATGATTGTGTTTTATGATACGTGAATTAATTTGCTGTTTTAGCGTTATATGTGACATTAGTTGGTAAAAACATATTTTTGTAATTAATACTACTGCGTCAATTAGGTGTTGTAAAATTTTGTGGATAATGCTATAGTTATAGTGTATTTACTTAACTGTATGTTATATAAATAATATAACATACAAATAAATATATATAGTTTTTGGTGTAATTTTACAAATCGTTTAAAGTCTGTAGTGTATAATATCTATTGTCTATAATCTTTAGTTATAAGTCTGTAGTCTATGCCCCACGTATTAAGCAGTATTGAAGAATTTTTAAAATAATTCATATTCTTACGTCAAGTTTGAAATCCGGAACGTAAAATAATAATAAAGATATAAATATGTAGTCGTATCCGGGACAGACCGTGACACTGTTCCAATTCTTTTAACAGTTATAGGTCTCGAAATTATAGCCATATTTTAAAGCAGCCATCGAATTCCACGGTAATAAGACTACATTGTATGAAAACGTCATTGTTTGGACGACAAAGAAAAACAGCTTTTATAGGTCGACGATAAAACGATTGTAAAAATTTTTTTGTTCAGTCGTTGACACAAAGTTTACTTAGCGGGGATTGTTACATTTTCGTACGTACAAGGTTATTCTTAAGCGGAGTTAAAAGTCTCATTAAGTTATTAAATTTTAGTGCCATAATCATTTAAGACATTCTCCTAATAGAAATATGTTGACAGATTTGAACTTAATATAAGAAAAATATTCCTTAATCTTATTTGAACTGACCTGACCTTTTTTAAGGGGTTTGTGCTAATACTCTGTGCTTAGACTTTAACACTGCAACCTGCAGAGATCTATTGCGCTCCCTTTTCCTGACCTAAACCTGACCAACTAGTATGAAACAAACAGGTTTTTATAATGTTATTTCCAATAAAAAACCTATTATTGTCAGTAATATGTGAATTAAGTAATTATGTAGTATTCATGTAATATCATGTTTAGTCATAATTAAGGCCCTCTCTATGTGGCATGCAATGCATATATGTAATTTTATGACAATTTGATTTATTGACTGACGTATGGCAGGTAACAAACTCACTTTTGCACTTGAACATAAATAATAATAATAATAGCCCTGCACAATTCTCACAGGACCAAGTCCCAAGCTAAGCAAAGCTTATGTTATGGGTACGTACTAGACAAGTGATATAAATACATAGATGCATTTTTTTACAAATACTTATATAATGAACATATATATACATATATATAGAAAACACACAGACCGATCCTTTGGATCCTTTGGACCTTGGAATACAAATATTTCCACCGTTCGAAGAATTGAACCCGCGTCCATACCGCTAAACCATCGAGGGTATTAATATATAGTTTATACATTTATTTATTCAGAGTGAAAGACATAAAACTTCTATCTATTAAATGATTGATGAACACGTGATGATATACATATACTCGTATATCTTATTAATTAAATCTACTTCACATTTGTTGTTTTAGTGGGCATATTAAGACGTCTCACTAATTGCCATTAATATTCTATAATGATTTTCTAGTAAATTTGCAAGTTAATATAATCCATGTATATTACAAATATCGAATAGATAGCGCGATAAATCAGCGGGTGCTACCGCCCACGCATCGCCGCGTGTAATAAATAACTTACCGCCGACAGCAGACAGGAGCATCCTACGAGACATGCTCTTGTAGAAATACATTATCTACTAGGTGTTTCCCGCGGAACCGTTTAGTTTCGCTTCCCATGGGAATTTATGTGAGATCATAGAATTGCATGTTTTGGTTATGTAATTATGGGTGAATCTGTAAGTTGGTTTATTAAAAGACGACCGTACTAAGAACATCCTGTATAAATGCGCATTCGAAATAATATCTGAAGTGTTAGGAACAAATTGTGGTTCACTTGTTGTCTTCTCCTTCTAGGACTTGATGGATGTCATGCAAAATTCAGTTCAGGTCGAAAGTTGTGGGTAGCATATGCATAATTTTGTCTTTTGGGCTACTCACTCGCGAAAAGAAGCTAACTATAAACGAAACTTCATCTAATTGAGATATTCATTTGTTTATAATTATGTAATACGATGGCTTCTGAAGTCAAGTTTTTATGTGAAGTCAATTATGTAGTAAATATTGTGTAATTTTTTCATGAATATG